AGCTGTGGAGAATGGTCCCGGCGGGGAGAGCCGCCCGGGGGCCGGCCGAGCGCGCCCAAGGTCCGCCGGGCGAGGGGGTGGCCGCGCCTGCAGCCTCCCCGACCCCGTCGGAGGAGGAGGAGCCGGAGGAAGAGGAGGAGGAGGCGGCCGCCGCGGAGGAAGGCGAAGAGGAGACTGTAGCATCGGGGGAGGAGCCGCTGGGCTTTCTGTCCAGGCTGCCCCCAGTCCCCACCGGCCTGGACTGCAGCTCCCTGGACCGCGACCCGGACCTGCCGCCCGCCACGGGCACGTCACACTTCGAGTTCCCGGACTACTGCACCCCCGAGGTGACCGAGATGATCGCGGGGGACTGGCGCCCGTCTAGCATCGCCGACCTGGTTTTCACCTACTGAGCCCACCGTCAGCGGGGCGCGCACGCCCCCAAACCAGCTGTTTACATACAGGAATCAGGTATTGGGGCCCCTCGGAGGCCGAGGCTGGCACCCCACCTCCCGCGCAGCCTCCTCCCCCCCCTCCTGGATGTGCCCATCCCCCCCCAGATCCAGACGCGCCCCTCCCCCACAGACACACCCCAAGGCAGCCCAACCCCCACCCTTTCCCTGACATCCAAGCCCCTCCCCATCAGTCCTCGCCCGCACAGCCACCAGCAGCCAGCCCCCCCCTCCGAAGCCGATTCGCCCCCCTTTACAGACCTGCACCCCTCCCCCGCCCCCCCACCGCCTTCCTCTCGCCCTTCCTCGTGGCCGGAGGACACGCCCCCTCCCTCGCTCCGGATTCCCTCCGCCCTGGCCTAGCCTGCCTTCGGGGTTCGGGGGTCGATCCTGAGGGGCGGCCCTCCCACGCCCCTCCCCCCCCAGCGCGACGGCCCGCCCCTCCGCTTGGGCCCGCCCTCCTGCGCTTGCGCATGCCTAGTGCTACTTGGGAGGAGGGGGCCGATCCCAGGCCAGATGCAGGCTTCCTGCCGTTTGCTGGGTGAAGGAGGGCGGGGGGGCGAGTGTAGAGCAATCCTAAGAAATCCTTTGATCCCAGAGCCCGTGGCTCCCTCTCAACCCGACGGGGCGTCACTGCCTTAATGGGAGGAGCACTGGGAAGGGAGAGAGCTGTCCGGGTGGGGCTAGTTTGAGCTTGGAACTCATCTAAAGGCACGGCCCCTTTACTCCCCCTCCCCATGGGGTTGTCCAGGCCCACCACACCCAAGGCTTCAACTGCCTTTACCGCCAAACTTGGTCCCCAGAGACGTCCCTTACTTGCCCCTGAGAGATTTGGAGTCAGGTTTTTGCTTGGCAAACTGAGAAAGGAAGGGGCTATCCCAGAAAACTGTTGAGTTGATGCACCCACCAATCTGGAGACGGGTCCCAGCTGCTCCCTCCCCCACCCTGGGAAACGCCCTATCATCTCAGGGCACCTTCTCAGCCCGGGCTCCTCCCTAACGACTGTCCCTTCCAATCACCCAAACCCATCCACCATTATAGCTGCAGTATTCAGTGGGAGAAACTGAGGCACGCTGGTGCTAGGAGCTTGGAGCGGCAGGAAAAAGTGGTTTGAGAGAAACCATCGTCCCCGTCCTGGGGGACCGGAGAAGGATGGGTAGAGGAGAGTGGATGTAGGCCGATTGCATCCCAGCCTTTTCCTGTGTGAAATACGGACGGCGCTGCTGTTAGAAAATCGTGTCCAGTTCAGGGTGTCCGTGGGAACCCTGCCCCCACGCTGTTACCCTCTTACCCCCTGGCCCCGGCCCCCTCCGGCCTCTCCCTCCACCCCCCTGCCCTCACTACCTGTATCTCACCGGCGTGTGTTCACCCCCCCTGGGTGCTCACACATTCTCATTCACACACACAAATCTCAGGAACAAACGGTCCCGGAGTCCTCGGGGACCCCTGCCCAGGGTCTCTGCAGGGCTCTGCCCCACGCGTTCCCTTCGCTGACAAAGCCACCAGCTGCCTCCTTTAAGCTTGGTGCTCCGGCTCTGGGCCTTTCTTGCGCTCTTCTTTTCTTTTTCTTTTTCTTTTTTTCCTTTTTTTTTTTTTAAGAAAACAACAAAAAGACAATGAAAAAAAATGTCATGTGAGTGAAGAGATGTCACTGTCTGTGGTCTTGGAGAACTAGTCTTGTAGCTGAGTTGGGGGGATTCTCTCCCTCTGGGGCGCTGGCACCCACAGCAGGACTTGCGCCGGTCTGATGCCAGGACTGAATAAAGTGTATTTGCCCCGACCTCGCCCTGTGGTTCTGCATGTCTGCTTTCTTCACCCCTCCCCCCACCGTGGCCTAGATTCATCTTCCACAGGATTTGGGCCCTTGCAGAGAAAGCTGGCTGTCTCTGAGCAAGGCGTTTGGCCCCCTGGGCCTATCTCCTTTTGTCTTGGGACTCCCTGTCTTCACTGAGGATAGCAGACTGGTCCCTGTGGTAGTCACGCAGGTAACACAAATCAATGCGTCTTGGGGGTCATTTCTACTACCAGCAGCTGCCCACCTCCTGCAAGGGGTGACCTGGTGTGAATGCAGCAGCATACGGTAATAGCCAGATGGCCACATGTCTTCCTTTTTTGTTTTTGTTTTTCAAGAGAAGCTGAAAAATGTGCTTGTTTCTGAGTCACTGTCATTTCAAAATGAAAAGTTGGGCCAAATGAAAACAGGTGTGGGCAGGTCTGAGCCAGGGGGTCAGTTGGGCCTTGTCTTCATAAGAATTAGGAAGCAAGGTTGGTCACACTGCTTATAGCTCAGCTCCGGTGAGCCCATGTGACCGTGGGCAACTTGGCTTCCTCCCAAGACTCTGAGGGTCACAATGGAACCAGCTTCACAGGATGAAATGAGGGTTAAGTTGAGAAGCAGTTGACATGATGTGCCCCATTCGTTGTGTTGCTCCATTGTCCAGAGGAGGAAGCTTAAGGTCACATGGGGGCCAAGGCCCCTGACAGACACCAGCATCCTCAGGTGCTTCCTTCCCTCTGTGCTAGTCTGCAGGTGGGTCAGCCTGAGGCCTGGCACACTCAGGTGTGCAGTACAGACTTAATGTGAATGACCAAAAATGCCACAGAACCGTAGTTCCTGCCTATCAGTTTCTGAGTAAGGTGTTGTCCTTCCTTTGTCCCCAAACATCCCTTCCCCTAATTCTTCCATCTTCTAGGTCTAGTGAATTCCTAAGCTCAGATGAAACTTGTTCTCCCTGAACTGAGACTGAACTGAGGCTGAATGTGAGAATTACAATGAGGGCTCCGCTCTGCCTCCTAGTTAGAAACAGTGAGGGCAAGAATCCCCTAAAGGATAGCATCAAAAAGGTATAGAAGTTGGGTGCTGGTGGCTAGCTGCTCAGGAGGCTGAGATATGTGGATCACGGTTCAAAGCCAGCCCAGGCAGGAAACTCCGTGAGACTCATCTCCAATAAGCCACTAGGAAACTGGAAGTGGTGCTGTGGCTCAAGCGGTAGAGTGCTCTCCTTGAGCTGAAGAGCACAAAGACAGCGCCCAAGCCCAGAGTTCAAGCCCTAAAACCAACAACAACAACAAAAAGTATAGAAGCCAGGTGCTGGTGAGTCACATCTGTAACCCTAGCTACTCAGGAGGCTGATATCTGAGGATCTCAGTTCAAAGCCACCCTTGGCAGGGAAGTCCATGAGACTTATCTCTTAACTGCCAGAAAACGAAGTGACACTGTGGCTCAAAGTGGTAGAGAGCTAGCCTTGAGCAAAAATTGCTCAGGAACAGTGCCCAAGCCTGGAGTTCAAGCCCCATGACTGATCAAAAAGTATAATACATATCTATCTATCTATATATGTATATATATCATGCCAGGTGTGGTTCTTGTCTATAATCCTTGCACTCCAAGAGGCTGAGGTAAGAATATCACAAATTTGAAGCCAGCCCGTAGGAGAGGGAAAAGAAAGATGGCCTCTCTCAAGAAGGTATAGAGCCAGAGAAGCCTATCATACAGAAGTCTTTTCAAAGGCTGGGAAGGTGGCTCAATAGTAGAGTGCTCAGAGGCCCTGGGTTCGTTCCTCAGCACCACCTACGCAGAAAAGGCTGGAAGTTGCACTGTGGCTCAAGTGGTAAAGAGCCTTGAGCTGAAGAGTTGAAGGACAGCGCCCAGGCTCAGAGTTCAGGCCTCACGGCCAACCAAAAACAAACAAAAAGAGTCCTTTCAAGGAAGGGCTTCTAGCCTTGGGTCGGGGAGGATGGCCTCTGTCAGCTTCTTAGGCCACGCCTCTGGCAGCTTGCTGTCCCAGGGCAGCATTCCCTGTGGAGGATTCGCTGAAAGACATGTCAAGCCTGCAGGAGTTTGATTTCCTTCCGTGTGCCCAGTCTTGCTTCTCTTCACAGATATTCATGCTAATAAACATCTTGCACTGTAAGTTCAGTCTCTGTCTGCTTTGGGGTGAACCATGTGTAGCACAGAAGGCAAGGCTAGACAAAGGAAGTTGGGTCACTAACCTGGCTATGTCAGCCAGGATGCCTCAGGCCTCTCTTCCTATCTCAAAAGAAGCCAAGTCTCTAACCTTCAACACCCTCAGCACCAACTTTGCTATTGTCTCTTTCTAAGTCTGCCCACCAGACAGACAGCAGCCACTAGAAACTACAGCCTTCCCCAAACCCAGAGCTCTGCCCATTCACTTCAGCAGCTACCCCAGTCAAGGCCAAAGGACGTGATCAAGGTGGCTGGTCTTCTGCTTGACTTGCAAGGCAAATGCCTGGCTAGCGACCGTACTGGAGCTGTGGGACCTTAGAATAGCCCCCTACCTCTGTGGGCTTTAGTGCCTCACTGGGAAAGCCTGGGGCACTAGTAAAACTGGGCAGTCTTGTTCTGTTCCTTCCATTTCAGGTCTGAAAGGTGGGGAAGGTACCTACTCACAGGGACGCTGGAGACACCTGGTGGCTGATGAGTAGAAAGTACGTCTGTGCTAGTGGAGATGGGGGGTGTTGTCCCACTCCTCTCCCAGGAAGTCATGGAGTCCCAGTTGGCTCCTGTCCCTCAAAGGTACAGTTTAAGTTCTCTTGGTTCCAAGGCTTCATATGGGGCCCAGCGCTGATGGCTCATAACTGTAATTCTAACTGCTTTGGATGCTGAGATCAGAGGAATGAGGTTTGAAGCCAGCCCAAGCAGAAAAGCCTGCAGGACTCCATCTCTAATCAAACCAGAACAAAAGCTAGGTGGGAGGTATAGCTCAAGTGATAGAGCACCAAGTGAGCAAATGGAAGGCCCTGAGTTCAAACACCAGTATGGATAAAACATCCATATACTGACACATTGACTGACTATTGTGTAGCAGATCAACAAACAGTTGCTTAAAACATCACCCAGGGGTTGTTCAATCTGAGGTGGCCAGAGAGGTTAGGTGTCCAAAGACACAGCTGAACCTCTGCAGGTTCTCTTGGACTGACCTGCAGTCCTTGATGATCCTCAGTATCCTTTTACAAACACCTGTAGTTAGGGGCAGAATTTAGTTCCGCCAGTTATAGGACAGAAATGCCTGTGTCCCTGGTGCTACGTTTTGTATATGTGTGTGCCAGTACCAAGGCTTAACTTGCCATCCTGTTGCTGCAGTTATTGGCTCAGAATGAAC